TTTTCTTAGGAAAATGCTCCCAACAAATTCCCATGAATAACTGTCTATTAACCTTTGCATTGATCAAATAATTCGGTGTTTCTTTTTGATAAGCAAGGACGAAATTGCTCTTTTATTTTTTATTTACAAGAAAAACTGACGTTTTGACTGATTTTGCATGCTTCAGAGTATGGAAAAGTCGAGTTAACAACAATCTAGTCATGCCAAAACCTCCATAACTTCAGCATAAAAGCCGCGACACTTAATTTTCAACCGCGTTGGTTATAGAACAGCTTCTTCGCACACTCACCCCTCTATGAGCCTTTTGCTGAATATTCAACGTTACGAGCCATCGAAGAGACATGGATGAATAATGACCTACTCTCACGTCAAAATATCAGTCTGAGGTTTAATGTGAGATCTCGCGTGATAATAAGGTATTTCTCTCTGCGGTTTACTTTCGGATTCTTAGTATTCGTCTAGAATTCTTTGAGCATTTTTCACTCCGAAGTTTTAGATTTTTGTGTAAGGATGGCGACTTCCATTTTAGAATCCTTCCCGTTGCGTGTCTGCGTCCTATGAGCCTTTAGTGGAGTATTTTGCTCAGCTTCACACTTGCCATCTAGGTGTTCTTTTATGCGGGCACTTAGTGGTTTACTCGTTTCGCAAGTGTATTCGTCTCCATACGCTTTGCAAAAGGTCAGTTAAACTTTAACCGAACTCAGACAATCACCATCTCTACAGTTAGGGCAAATTATAGAGTTTTGGGTTGTGAATTCACGGTCATACAGGCGGTTAAGAACTAGCTGGAATCTGAGAGTGTCTGGTAGTAATTCAATCACTGCTACTAATTTTTCTAGACTCGATCTTTTTAAGCAGCGTTTTATAGCTGCACTTATTTCGTTGGAAATGAAGGGCAGGAACGAGGCTTATTCTCCTAGAATTATCGTTTCGGGACGTGGTTTTTCCTCCATGTCTCTCTCGTGGAGCCACAGTTTCATAGCCAGTGCTTATAGTGCGTAAATGCTTATATTCCCCTATAATTTCAGGTGACCTTCCCTCCTCTCTCTTGAGCACACATTGGTGGCTATTCCAGACGTGTTTCTTTAAAGCGCCCTTTTTGTATGTGAAGAGTAGGAGTAGAGATAATCAACCAGTATGTTTTTCTAATTGGTTTTCGGCACCATTTGATGTTGCAGCCGTTTTCGATTAGGTTAATTAGAGCGTTTTAAAGTGAAAACCAGGTTTTTTTCGGTTTTTCCCGGATAAACGTACTCTGTTTTGACTGTTCATTTAGTAAGCGAAATACAACCACAACGTTGCTGAGATATTTGC